GTCTGTATGTGGGATCCGACCCCTCGGCGGGAGCGCCGCCTCACTCCCAAGCAGCGCACTGTAGCAGTGCGCCACCGGGCCGGCCCCACACTCTAGTTCTATCCCCATCTCCAGTCACAAGCACTTCCACACATACATGGACATACATATACAACTAGAAACAGATTTTTAACTTTTCTAAAGCTTACACAGATAATCTAATCAGACTAACAGAGAAGGCTGTGTCTCTCACATGATTATGTACCAAATGGCACTGATGTACAAAAAAAGGTTTTTATGCTGATATTTTTAAAAATCCATATTCCTTGCTGATTCAATATCAAGCAGCTAGGCAGTTACTAAACTATTACCCAAGATTTATCCTAATGTGATCAATAAAATCTAAAGCACGAGCCTGAAAAATGCCTCAAAATATTTCTTTTTAAAATAACTGCAAATAAAATACACAAAGAAGAAAAGTAAAGGTGTGTACTGCTAGGTTATTTTGTTATCACAGACACAGTGATGTGTAAGAAATTTTGAATCAAGGTTGCCTACAAATTTTCTATACAGCATCTATCAATACATTAAATTTAATGGAAAACTGCTATTCTTATACTTTTCTCATTTGTCTGAAAGCCAAACCAGTTTTCCTACTCTGTCTTTGGGATCTTTTGGTATACACATAAAACCTGGATGGGTGCTTTAGCAGGGGATGCTGGAGAGGGGAAAAGCTCTTCTGAACTTGAAGACTGAGGATCTCCAATTTCATAAGCAAGCAGTGTCCTTTATGTAGATAGACTTTCTGGAGTATGACTAAGTGTCTGTACCAGACTAACACAGTAAAGACTACTTGTGTAATTGCAATTTAATTGTTCAAATCAGAACTTCTTCTAAAACGAGTTTCCTCCCTTCCAGTCATATATTAAATTCTAGCCTGACCACTGATAGACCTGAGGTGTAATAATGTGGTATCCGTGTTATTAGCCTACCAGCTGAAAACTTTTCCTTCTTTTATTTTTATTCCTATAGTTGAGGAAAGTTGCAGAGACCAACAGAATGAAAGCAAAACTCATTGCCTTTCTAGGGAAGAGCTGTAGAGTAAAACAAAATTCACTTGTGAAGAGGAATAATGCCTATTTGAACAAATGGAAAAATAAAATTATAGAATATTTTAAAAATAAGCACACTAGAATAAAAACCTCAACTAGTAATAAATTCGGATTCTAATCTTATAAGATTCATTTTAAATGTAGTTTAATTATATAAATGAATTACTTACAGAGCCAACGAGCTATATTACGGATGCATTTTATAAGGCTTGTTTTTGTTTTTATACTAGGGTAAGCATTTCCCAAGTTTGCCTGTAATAATTGGGCTTTTTGAAAATCAAAACAAAATTCTCCCGTGTCTAAATTAACATAATTCTGAATTAAAGAAGTCCTAATAAATGGGGTTTCACTGCCTACATACATAAACATATGGTGAAATACCCTTTACAATAATTACTAGGAAGACAATCAGCTCCCTGTACCTGTTGAGATTTCCCCACCCATAAAGGAGTGGTCACTTTCCCATTTGTGCATCCATGAAAAATACCTTTCCACCAGGCAGTCAGGAGATCAGGGATCACGTTAAGGTTCCAAAATGAGTAATCCTAAGCAGTCAGTACTACGTCTGGTGCTTACTTCTCTCCCAGGAAGTGGGGATACACTAGCATACTACAGCAGCCCTGGATGGGAAGAGGGGAACGAAGGGCAATGGACCGTTGCAGGCTGAGCCACTTACGAGACGTAGGCTGGGTAGCCAAATCCTATCAGGTTGCAGAGGAGAGACGCTCCATAACCGAACACCAGGTACAAGGCCACCAGCCCGATGACACCTGCAGACACGAGAGGTGGGTCGGGTGATCCAAGAGGCGCTCCAGCGGGACAGCCCCCGCCCACACCGCGAGGCCGGGCCTGTTCTCGGCTTTTTCCTCCCGACTCGATTAAAGGAGCGAGAAAAACGCACCACACGAAGGTTGGGCCTGCGCCTCCGCGGGGCTCTGCCTCGGGCCTGGGGATAGTGCGCAGCCCCCACCTTTGGGCCTTTTCTCGCTCCCGCGGGGGTCCCGCCAGACCGCGCCCCAGCCGGGGAAGGGGCTGGATGGGCCCGGATTCCCGCACCTGTCCTTTCTCCGAGGCCCACCGAGGGTCTCGGTAGAACCGGGTACCTCCGCCACCGCGCCCACACGCCCTCCAGCAGGGC